GAACATTAAGTGGAAATTCATTTTATCCTGTTTCACATTGTAGTCATTTTTTTTTTTTTTTTTGTGTGACATTTCTACATATTCGCAACACGAGAAATTTGGTACATTTAGAAGTGACATGAAGGAAAAGAACAACCCACCATACTTAGATTTGTTGCATCTGGTCTCCCAAATTTTATTTGATCAGCTTCCTTTAGTATTGTACAAGATTACACTATTCAAGCACCCATTGAGGGTCAACACTTTCGAATTTTGTTAAATGGAACTCCTGTTGTGTCGTGAATACTATTGTCACTTTCATTAGTATTGTTGTAGCATACCTACAGACGATATAGGTATGTCCCCATTCCCATAAATACAGTAGTGAATACTGAACGTGTTGGTCTGCAGTTTAGAGATTCATTGTAGAATTCACTTGACTCACTTCTAGCAGTTGATTACTACTTCTATGCGCCACTGGCAAATCTTATATGTGTTGTTCATGTCCTAAGTATTATCATTCATTACCAACCTTCATGTGGTTATTCTGTTCAGTAAACTTCTCTAGGTTACAACAGATATCAAATATTTTTTTTTATTGATTTCTTTTCTGCAGCTTATCACCACTTTGCAGGTTATTTAAAGCTAGAAAATATTTTTAGATTGTAAGAATTTTTTTTTTTTTTTTTTTTTTAGGTAGTAATGATTTAGTGATACAAATCTTACTAATTAATTAATCCCTAGCTGGTGTGGATTCATACCTTTCCCAAGGGTATTTGCATGTAAGTGAATATAATGAACCCAACTGAAATTGGAACTTGGCTCTCCAATTAACAATTCCGAGCCATTATCTATTACACCACTTGTACATCTAGCTTACAGTACTTGGGTTTTCCCAAATGGTAATTTTAGTGATCATATGGGAAACGGTGTTTCATAAGCCCTCAAATAGTTTTGAGCCTTAAGAACAACTTTTCGAGCCACACAAGAAATGTTTAGTGTGAGCAATTTGTTTTTCATTATTGTATACCTACTTTCACATTTTGTATAATTGCAAATGGACATTTGCTTCATTTTGAACGGTTCTTGTGAGGGTAATTTTTCTTTTTTTTTTTCATTTCAAAAGATTACTGTGCTGACCGTCTGAAATAATTTAATTCCTTTTGTTTATTAATCATGTTCTTGAATTCTATGACTTATTTTTTTCTTTATACATAGATTGCAATTTTTGCATTGGTTCCTCTTCATATGTTTTTTTTTTTTTTATATATACCATTTTATTAATGGTGTTTGTCCTTTCATTTTTATTTCCCATATGTATTATTTTTCTTTCATATTTTAAATGAAATGGTTTGCATGTCATGGAAACAGGCTGTTAATGGGTAAATAATCCAAAAATAATTTTTTTTTTTTTTTTTTAAACTTTACTTTTTAAATAGTATCTGTCTATATTTCTGAGATGAGGTATTGTAATTACTTACACTATTTACATTGTTCAGACTGTTGTCCTCATTTTCGCAACGTTTCGGCAGTTGTATGCTCCAGTCTTCTTCAGGTGATTGGAATTTTGAGCAGAAATGAACAAAAACTTGAAGAGTTGAGCTAAAAAGAGATAACTGACACTGAGACATTCAGGAGAGGCATGGCACGTGGAACTTGAACAATCTACACTGTGGACGAAATAAAGGGTTTCATTCGAAATTCCAATCACCTGAAGAAGACCGGAGTATGCAACGGCCGAAATGTTGTGAACATGGCAACGAAGATGAGGACAATACTCTGAACAATGTAAATAGTTTAAATAATTTTAAATAGCAATTAGAATGATAGTCACTAGACTTTCATGGCTCTTCAGTCACTCTCTGCCCCCAGTGTCAGGCATGTCTAGGAAAATTTTACTGTTTCCTATTGTTTGGTAAATCATGTAGGTGTTGAGCACTTTTCAACGGACAATTGCTCTTGTCTTTGCAATTATGGGAATGTTTCATGTTGGCATCATTCCTAGAAAACACTTAGGCTGTTCTTCTCGACACATTTAATTACCTTATCCGTTACTAATTTTCAGAATATTTCCATTAATTTCTACTTTCTTTTTAATAGGAAATGCTTCCCAATAACTTCCAAGAAATATAGGATATTCGTATATTAGTAAAAAAAAAAAAAAATCATTAATGATTTAATACACAAAATATTTATTATTACCAAATCTCTTTCAGTGTGTATATATATATATATATAATCTACACCTCTCTCAACATACATTAAGTCTGTTAGTGAAGACATTTCGCCATTAACTGCATTAATATTGCTAATTGATTCAATGTATGATTCTCTTTTATATATATATAAAAACTTGTATATTCCATTTATTATGTATACAAATGTATTCTATATTAAATCTTTTAAGAGATGTTTTTCAAAAGGTTTTGTGCCCACCTTATTAAAGCAGAGTTTGAAGCAAACAATATCTTTTTATATGCACCCTCCAGAATAGTCAGTAAAATAGATTCAACAAAAAAGTTTGAATTATCAAAATGTCAAGCTGTAAATAGCAATGAGAGATTTGTCTGTATATACAGACTCGGTATCACCCTAAAAGCAGTTGTTTGTATGTGTGTGTATTATTGACTTATTAATATTTTTCAGCTATCTTATGGAAATAATATTTTTTATTCAATCTTTAAAAATTAAAAAAAAATAAACTTTTTTTTTTTGTTTGTAACTAACATAAAAAAAGTAAATTTTAAATTAAGTTTTATTAAAGCAAAAGCTATAAACGAGCCTTATTTTTTTTCAAAAGTTAATTTAAAAATATGGTTAAATTTGTATATCATTGTAAAACAAATATTCAACACAACTAGTGTCTGTCTCTACTAATTTTTACTTAACTGAAGTTTTTCCTTTTTCTTTTCAAATACAAATATAACTTAAAATTTAAATATAATCTACTAAAAAGCAATGAAGTTTATTTTTTAAAAATTTAAATATAATCTACTAAAAAGCAATGAAGTTTATTTTTTAAAAATTTAAATATAATCTACTAAAAAGCAATGAAGTTTATTTTTTAAAAATTTAAATATAATCTACTAAAAAGCAATGAAGTTTATTTTTTAAAGATTGAATAAAAAATTATTTTCCATAAGATGGCTGAAAAATATCAATAAATTGTCAATAATAAACTATTTTTCAGACATCTTCCAAGCAACGCTGGGTATCCCCAGTAGTGTGCGTGTGTGTATATAATATATATATATATTTTGAACGATAAAAAAATATTAAGAAATTAAAATCTTTAGACACACTGGGTTGTAGATTAATATTCTTTCGTTTTTTTTTTTTTTATTATTTCATTCAGATTCCTCGACTAGTTTCGACCAAAATTGCCATCATCGGGAGGAGAAATATTTCTGCTTGCTGGTAGCAGTAAACTACAGAAATGAATATATATATATATATATATATATATATATATATAATGTCTGTTTTTTACAAAAATACAATCATCAGATATAGTCTGATATTTGCATTTAAGCATGTAAACACTGTTGCTATCCACTGTTTATACCTATATCTCACAGCTTATATCTACTGGGTACTGCATATACATTTACTTATTATTCATTTTACATAAAATAAAAAGTTTTAGCTTTTGGGTAATCAAAGCTTACAGGTTGATTGTTATAGTTACAATTCAAAATGGCTGCCCTTTGCTTTCACCATAACCCTTAATCTCTTCTCAACTGAAGAGCA